TCACCCCCCCCTGGATGATGGCCAATGTCTGTTTTATTAAAAAGCATGTATTTCTTTAAGAGGTTAGTAGTTCTCCAAGTGATGGCTATGCTATGATAACATCATCATTCAAGGAAAAGTTATATGAGCACTCTTCAAAGTGCCTAAGCCCATTTATGCTAAGTCATTTTCCTGGGTACCTGAATCAAATATAGACTACTTGGTTAAAGTACTAGATAGCCAACTAGTTTGGTAAAGATCTGAGATCGCTACCATCTAAAGGCTGGCATAGGAAGTTAGAAAGGCCAGAAAGAAAACTATTTTGTCACTCAAGGTATCAAATGGAGAGTGTGGCCTATTTGTTTTTCACTCAGTCCCGCTCCTTACATCCTTCATTCTTCCATCTCCAGAGTTGTTACCCATATTCATCCAGCATTAGCTGGAACTGGGTGAGTCATCCAGAAGCTTTCTTCTCCCCACTGCCATATCAGTTAAGCAGTTCTGTCAATTCTGTCTCCTGATTAAGTCTTCTTATGTTGCAAACCCCCAGACAATGCCACCATCATCTACCACCTGTGCTTACTCTTGCTGCTCTACTAATCCAAGCCCTAAGTGTGACTGTCATTTTGTCAGTCTCTCTTAATTGCAAATAAGATCCTATGGAGCATCTACCTAACACTGTTCATTTGTGTCCCATTACACTTGGAACAAAAGCCAAAACCTTTTAACTGTTAACAGTGCTTTCCAAGAGCTTTCCTACCTGTCTCTGCAGCTTCAACTTATCTTCTTTCCTGGCTTCAGCAGACCTTCCCTCAACTGTGGTATTTCTAAGGTTTGCTCACATTAAGGCTCTAGTCAAATGACTCATAAGAGGAGCAGAACTGAGTGAAAACCAAATCGACCACGTGCTCCATTTGACACCTTTTTGAGTGACTAATATAAGAGGTTACTTTTTTTTTCATAATATGATTTTCTTTATGTTTTCTTTAGAGAGTTTTGCCGTGTGTGCTCTCCTGAGAGACAGAGACAGAAAGTGAGAAATAACCCTCCCCCTCCTCCAGGGAAGATGGCCACATCACAATCCCTTCTCCAGTATCTTCTTGGGATTTTGAGCATTCAGGCATACGCAAGCCCTGTGCCTGGCATGAGAGTGCAGTAACATAACCATTACACCATCTGCTGATCCTGAAAATAGTATAATTTTCTTCCTGACCTTGTCTCCAAGAACTACTAATGTTTACTGAAGCATGAGAAATCCACAGTAACACTTAAAAACCTAGTAGATCGACTGATTAATTTGGTATAATATTAAAAAATATTCAAGGGGCTGGCAGGTGGCTTGGTGGTTAAGGTGCCAGACAGTTTGAGTCCTGGACTTGGCAGCTTTCTCTCTCTCTCTCTCTCTCTCTCTCTCTCTCTCTCTCTCTCGTCAAATTAGAGTTATAATGAGACCAACAGCATAATAGTTATGCCACTGGACTCCATGTAGCCAACTGCAGTTGGACTGGATGACTTTAAACTCACGCCAGGCATGTGGGTGTGTGCCCAAAATCCCAAGAGGATACTAGAGAGGAAGGGATTGTGGTGTGGCCATCCCCACTGGAGGATGATGTCTCGCTTTCTGTCTATCCAGTGAGTGCACGCGTCCTATAGCCAAAATCTCTCAAAAAATTTCTCTAAGAAGAAATTTAAATAATAATAAGGGACTAGCAGATGGTATAATGGTTATATTGCTGAACCCACAGTCAACCACATTAGACACCCAGATCCAGCAGCTTAAAACTCATGCCAAGTGCATGAGCATGCAGGCTCAAGATCCTGAGAGAAGAATGGAGAAGGGATTGCAACATGACCACACCCCTGGGGAAGGATTTCTCACTTTCTGTCTCTCTGTCTCTCCAGTGACTGCATGTGCCCTATAGCAAAAATCTCTCCCAAAAACTTAAATAAATAATAATAGTGATAAATAAAATAAATTTTTCTCTCTCTCTTTTGTTTTTGCTATAGGGCACGTGTGCTCGCCAGACAGAGAAAGAGAGACAGAAAGCGAGAAATCACCCCCCAGGGGGGATAGCCACGCTGCAATCTCTTCTCCATTCTCCTCTCGGGATCTTGGGCATGCATGCACATGTGCCTGGCGTGAGTTTTAAGCCACCAGGTCCGAGACACAAACCCCGGTCAACTACATGGGAGTCCAGCAACATAGTCAGTA